TATAAGATGAAGAACAGACTTTATAAAATTTTTTATATAACATAATTTCGCGTAAGCAAATGGTGAGAAGTATAGAATTCTTTTTCCATAAGACTTAAATTATTCCTCGTTGAATTTCAATGTATCCATCGTTGATAATATTTTTTCACCAGAAATAGGTAATAATAGTTATTGAAATTAATTTATTAATCTAGGTTTTAGGAAGTTAAAGAAATCTCAATGTGAAATGTCAAAGAAAATTCTCCTGCAAAGGCTACTTTAATTTTCAATGGTTTTAATAATTAATATCTGATGCATAGGCTGTTAAAAAAATAGACCTGAAACTTTTAGGGTTTCCCAGTAATTATAGAGGATAGTAAAAAATATTGTCGAATCAATTTAGATTTTAAAAACAATTTTTAATATAATAGAAATGATTTTAAATTTGATATAAATGAAATTTTTATATAATAGAATAGAAATGTTCAACTTACGAATCACTTCTAAGATTCAATTAAAGAATCATTACTGTACATCGAGTCTCAAAATAATTAGCACAGATATTGTATAGTTTCAAAACAATGCATCATTAGAAACGTTCAATTTGTGAATCACCTCTAAGGACTCAATTTAAGAATCATTACTGTACATCGAGTCTCAAAATAATTAGCACAGATATTGTATAGTTTCAAAACAATGCATTATTAGAAACGTTCAATTTGTGAATCACCTCTAAGGGTTCATTTTAAGAATCATTACTCTATATGCTGGAATCTTGCCCATTCGTTATATCACTGACATCGGAGCAATTTTAAAACTAATGGTGGGTGAAATCTGTGTCAGTTATTTGAATGGGTCCCGGGTCTTATCCATCGGCGACAAAAGCTTCGAAATAACATCTTCGCCGAGGAAAGACGCGAAGCTATTAAAACGTCGCGAGCTTTTATCGATGTTGACGCAGCTCTTCGGCCAGGGGCAGGTCCACAAGATGCATCGCGACGCATCCGAGCGAGCACTCACCAGTTATCCACGCGAGATGACAGCCGTAAATGGTGTTGGTGCTTTTTAATGCATTCTTCCGTCCACCTTGTCGAACGTCCCGCGTGTACCTATGAGCGTCTCCCAGCGCGAAAAAGAAGACCTTGGACCTAAGGGAGACATTGTGCTTCCTAATAAAGGGCCGAACATCCAACAGGTTGTTCTATTCGCGACGTTGCTCCGTCTGTTTTCTACGACAATTCTTTCCGCTCGATTCTCCGCTTATTTCAGGAGACGTAACTTTCTCGATAACTGGAAAACCGTAGAACCTCTGTTCAATCCGAAAACGTAGAGAAACACTATTGGTTGGGTTAGACGTGGTGGGTTAAAAAAATGTCCAAGCTGTTTTAAACATTTTAATAACTGCATAGCTGAACGAACGAAGATCCTTAACTGGTTCTTGACTCGATATTTTTAAATTGAAATCATGTAAATATCTAAGACTGTAGCATGGTATATTTTTTTTACCCCTAGAATCATTCGTTATAAATTATTTTTTTTATTTCTGGGAAGTGAATTTAAATTTAGGTGGATGAATGAACTGCTTTTGAAGATGATTCGTCCATCGATTTTGTACAAACAGCTGGAGAGAAATTTTTGTGTTGATACTATAGACCAAAGTGAGACTCGCGATGATGATATGAATTATAAATATTGAGAGGAACGGGTATAATATTTTTAATAATATATTTTTGTATTTAAAAATATTCACTGGAGATTCCCCTGAATCATAAAACACCCTTTCCTCCCTCTGGTAGATATGGTGCCTCTCACTTTGGAAGCCGCTGCTCGATATGAAAGCAAGAACCGAGCAACATCGGATCCATTTACGGGAAAGTCGAGGGGATTTTTCTCGTTTCCACGATTCTGTTCCTACGTCGTCCATACGCCCTATCGGAGACTGACGTATACAAGGTGGTTCATGAATACATGCCCATGCTGCAAGGGATGAATTCACACCCTAAATCTTCCATTTATAGCTTCCAACAAATTTCTACTACTTATTTCTTTCCTTTAGTTAAGTTCTTTAGTAAAGTTTCCTTTAGTAAAAAACAATATTTTTGACAACAGTGTTAAGTGTATAGTCTATATCCAGACTAGTGGTTCTTAGCCTTTTGTCTATCCCCTTTAAACAATTTTTTGTTTTGTCACAAGTCCACCAAAACTCAACTCAAAATTTTAAATGAGTGTTATGAATTGTATGATGTGAATGAAAAAATTTATTTAGTAGAAAAGAAATATCTACGTGTGAAAAGTAACATTGAGTGCATTTTTATTGAGAGCGATTCAGACGAATTTTTATTTGTGATAAAGATTCTAATTGCTGAGTCTTTTCAAGCAAGTATCATTTCGTGGATTATTAAACATTAAACCCTTTGGTAATAAGTAGCTACTCTCGACTAATTGTAAGTCACTGGTATCAGAACCAATCCTTAAAATTGGGTTTAAGTTTAGTAGACGTGACCTCTTCGACCAATAACGAATGACAGAATATACGTCTGGCTAGAGACGTGACCAATCCACTGTGGCCATACTTGTGTATCTTTCACTTGCCATCTTTCCAGCTCCGCACAGTAGTACGTTTCTTTTAATCATTAATATCGCCAAAATTAAGGGATCTAATAGAATACAGATTAATAAGAACTAGGAAGAAGAAGAAGGTATCAATAATAAGGAAGAAAAAAGGGTCAAAAAGTAGGGACAGTCGTCCAACTTGTCATCTTTCCAGCTCTGCACAGTAGTACGTTTCTTTTAATCATTAATATCGCCAAAATTAAGGGATCTAATAGAACACACACTATTAAGAGCTAGAAAGAAGAAGGTATTAATAATAAGGAAGAAAGAAGGGTCAAAAAGTAGGGCCAGACGTCCAACTCGTCATCTTTCCAGGACCCAATAGAGCAGACGAAGAGTTTCGTTTCTTTTAGCGCGTAGATACACCCTCGTAAGCATGGGCATGCATTTGTGAATCACCCAGTAGGTATTTACATCGAACACACTAGCCATCTAGCTGTTACCTACGCGTGGGCACCCGGGGTATTGTCGGGTGAGTCATCTCTCTCTTCCGTTCCTTGTGTACCTCTCACCACCCTGTGTGCAACGTGTGCAGTAAGTACAGCACGGTTTGTTTTCTGGGTAAAAGCCGGAGCCGCCGTGGCTCTTAAGAACAATGGAAACAAAAGTGGCACGCCGGCACGCGTGCTAGCACAAGGTAGCCATGGTCACGGCGGTCACGTTTCGTAGAATGTTGTGTCGTATATGTACACCCGTGCCGTGTCTTTTATGTACACCTTATACCGTACTCTCTGCCTCCTTCGCGTTGTTCTACCCTCGGTACCATGTATACCGATATGTAACAGTCACCTCGATGCGTCCACCGTGCACGGGATTCTGGACAACAAGAGGGAAAGTTGGCGAGAAAGAGGATAGAAGGCAGTTACAGACAATTTTCTACGACCCTCAGTTTTCGTTTCGCGGATGTCTGTATCAATGGGGTAGTTGTCTATGTTAGCCTCTCATGAGGCCAACTTGCTCGCTTGAATATCGATGTGGTTGCAAAACTCTACTGGGTAGAATTAATACTGATTTTTCAATCTTCTCTTTCGATCAATTTCAACTTACAATTAAAGTTACACAATTTCAGCAATTTCTTTTTAGCAGATTTTATTTGTAAATGTAATAGTCCTTCGTCACGCTTGTCACAGAGTTCTTTCTGCCTGTCCTTTGACTCCTTTCCGAGGGACTCGACGTACTCTTGCCCTTCTTACGCTTTAATTTGCTTTGATGTTCGATACCTCGGACACGATAGATGTACAAGAGCAAACGGGACTCCCTTTGGAAGACCAAAAATCAATGCTTCCTATTGATACTTACGTAAGGTTCCCGAAAGAAAGAACTTGGGGTCTGTTGGCTCGACGATAGCGTCTCTGCACGCTAACTTGTTAGAAAAGTCTCAGATGTGTCTCCGATTTCAACCAATTTTTTAAATAAATTAACAAAGGACGTAAATACGTCCAGTGTTTATATCTACAGTCAATAAAATGGCCAATCACCATATATTACATCATCAAAATTACAATTTCTAAGTTGCAACAAAACACCCAGTCTGTGACTAGACCATGCTTAGCGACCAAAGTAATGAGAACAAAAATAAAGAAAATATAAAAGTAGCAATAATTATTTCCAAAAATAATTTTTGTCTCCCCACTTTCTTGAACCCTATCTCTTTACCATTTTACTACCATGCAAGACATAGTGCAACAAGTCAAATAAGATCCCTGAACTCGACTCGTCTCCTCCTGTTTCGTTTGAACAGTATCTGATGACACCAACTAGCCTATGAGCCTAAGCAATACTCTAATCGTCTGGTTTCGATCCCACCAGTCACTCTTCCACGGTCAAGTTACTCTGTCAGGGATCTTATTAGGCTCGATGGGCCACGCTAACTAACCTGGCACGCGTACTAGCACAAGGTAGCCACGATCACGGTGATCACGTTTCGCAGAATGTTGTGTGGCGTGTGTGTGTACCGCTGCAACATCCTTTGCGTGGACCTACGATGCACTCTGTGCCCTGTTTGCGTCGATCTGCTCTCGGAACTATCTCTTACCAACGCGTAAATGTCTAAAAGTTAGAGAGAAAGAGGAACGACACAGTTCCAAATATTTTTTTCAAGGATTTCACAAAGGTCAACCCCTCAACGCCCGAATTTAATGCGAAAGTAATAATTTTCTTTAGCATTCTGTCGTTTGGTATTCTCTTCATCATGTTAAAAACGTAGGATACAACATTGTAATTATCAAAGAGCACATTTTTATGTAGCCTAGAAACAAATTCCATAAAGAAAACCAATGATTTTTGGCGGATTAAAGGACCAAATATGTGATTTTTTCTGCCAGACATCTCGAATAATTGTAGATTCCTCTTTCCTGCAACAAATAGATACTAGTTTATGGCATGATCGATGTTTCTGTGTTGCGCAGGTCGAGAACGTGAGCCTGTGCGTAGGAGCACTCCGGGCTCTGGGGGCGGACGTGGGCTCCGTAAATCCCGGCGAATTGGCAGCGGGATCAACCCTGTGGCCGGTTCTCGCCCTTCTTTTCGCCCTCTCGCGATACAAGCAAAGAGCAAAACAGCTTCAAGATATGCCTAGGTAAGTTAAAATGCAGTTTTCTTCTTTACAGCAGTCGGTCATGCAGAAAACGTTCTTACCGATCGAATTGGCTGCTGGTAAGTCAGATTTCTCTGTGCTAGCAGTTGGTAACGTAGTTTTGATTCGACCGTAGTTAAGCGGGGAATCACAGCTGCTGCATTATCGAACGAAAACACGTATGTGTGTGTGTGGAGTAATAGGTACGCAATATAAATCAAATAAGTGTGAATACTATGAACGAGTGTAAGAAGAAGCTATGTTACGGAGCATACACAATTTTTAAACTATCAGTACGTTTTTTAAAATTAACTTTTACGATTCGAATTCGTGTATCTTGCGATCATTAAAAGTTTCGTTTCATTCGATTTTATACAAGGTGATCGAAATGTCAATTGAGAGTTCCATAATGGATTATTTTTTGAGTTGTTCTTTATATTTAACGTATCGTCTGATTTATTAGCAGAACAGAAACTACAACAATTATTTCTTGATTAATTATACTTCAAGACGTTCACCGCGATACGGAACATGTATGCTCTCCATTATACCTTCTCTCCGTGCAAGTCATATTTTATTCAACCTTCGTTTCGTGCTGAGACGGTATTTTACGTCCGAAGTATGTGCATAACTTCTCCAGAAAAAAGTCTATTTTTCTAGTATTATCAGATATGAATATCAAGCACGAAGTGCAAGTGAAAAGTCTACGGCGGTTGTGCGTTCCACGTTATAGAACTCAGGAGTACCATTTTGTCTATACCACCTTTATTCCAACACTATTATTATGCTTCGTGGAAAAAAAGGACTTGCAGAGTACCAGGACTTTTCTTCTGGGAACCTTACAATACCAAGGAGGTTTTTAACTCGGAATAATGCTCTAATTGTCATACACGAGTCGTGAAGAAGCCTTTCTCAAGGTTAATTTTGTTCCCAAAGTCTCATATACACTCACTCACAAAAGTTAAAAAAACAGAATATTCATTTGCAAATTCTTATCCTCTGAAATGCATTTGAACTAAATTAGCGTAAAGAGATAACGTTGAACTGTAAAAAATATGAACATGAATACAACTTCATCATAGATAATTATTTACTCATGTATATTCGATTACAAGGACGTTCTCTCTTGGGCTTTTTTTTTTAAATCAGACTATATCATTTTGCACAAATCTTCTAAAATTTTTTTAATAATCTAATTTGCCTCATATCACTATGTACGAAAGTTCAAAGTCCATATGTTCCACAACTATTGTCAAATCAATAATCCACGAGAAAAAGCTATTACAGCAAGCGTGCTAATAGAATCACGAGCGAAAGGAACGATCCCAATCGAAAGTTGCCAAGAGTGCAACACGATGACGTTCGATAATCCTATTTCACAACCTGCCTTCCCCTCTGGAAGCTTCTTGAAAAGTAGTGTCTTGTTCAATTACAACGCTTCATTAACGAACTTCCAATCAGGCCTTCTCAATACAGTATTACTCACAATAGATGTGTAGTGGCTTGCTATATGAAGGAAGTGAGTTTACCTGCTATTCAATGTTTCTTTTTTTTTTTGGAAGGTTTCTCACTGGATGAGTGCAAAATTCCTTGAGTTTCTTAACCTGTATTTCATGGTTAGTGTTAGAGGAAAACATTCAAAAACTCTTTAACAAGATATACGAATAATCGGTCGAGCACTTGTGAGAGAGACAAGAGCGTAGCCCTCTGCTGGCGAGCGCAGGAACTGTCGCTAAAGAACAGAATTCTAACAACCAGGAACAAACACTGATTTATTCAAAGACAATTATTTTATAGATCAGTTTTGAATCTGCTTCGAAACTTTTGGCGGTGTATTTTGGAAATATACTTAAGATCTGATCGATGGACAAACCCTCTCAGCTTTCCAGGGGGTTCACTCGCAAACGTTTGTCTCGTGGGAGGAGCGTTCGCCTAACGGGAAGCTATCCCGATCCTTTCAACCTCTTTCTGGTTTCATCGACGTTGATCGATACGCATCGGTCCGTGGATAAATGCGGCCATTCCCCCGGCTCGATTTCCGCGAAATTTTCGAGCACTTGGTCGTCTGGTCGTAATATTTTCATTCTTCGCGAAGCACGAATCGATACCGACGTCCCGTCAGATGAACGACCTGGCGGCGTGCTCATTAACGTCCGTGTTAATCAAGCTGTACGCGCGCTCACACCACGGAACGTTCCGTGAATATAACGACGCGCGTGTACGCATGCGCGCGGGCCACGCGTGGTTCCCCGTATTTCGTTACTGTAATGGAACCGCGGGCCAGCAGCTTCAAACATTTTCATTTACTCCCGCACGATACGCGGTTAATTGCTCTCGCGACCGCCAAGGAGCCCCACTGACTCGGTGTTTTTCTTAATTCGCATCCCTCGTGAACGACGACTGTCAAGGTCGTTATTTTTAAACCCGAGGGATTTCGCGCCATGCCTCTCGGCGCTATTCGCTCAACGACTCCACACTCTCTCCAGCAATTGACAAAATAAGCGATAATATTTTCTCTCCTATAATTTTTATTTTGTTTTTGCTATTCCCCCATTGTATCATTTTTTTCAGAAATTAAAAATTGAGTAAATTTCCTTTTTGATTTATCTACGTATTTTTGTAAATACCCTTTTGCTTATTTTCTGAGAAATTACTGATTTTTTTTTTGCTTCTCATATTACTGTGTAATAATTGGTGTTAGTGCAATTGAAAAATGTTTAGTCATTGTGAAGATAAAATCTTTAACGAGAACAGAAAATATAATGGCTTCTTCAATTAAACAGTAATGTATTCTGATGGTATAATCTACGTTTCCTCTTCAGAAATTTCAGCGAGACAAGATTGGAATCTAAATTGGAGTTATTCGAATTGGAAACTGAGTCTAATTTATCTAGGCCACAATCTTTATAATAATACTGTTTATGAGGTTCTCGTTACTAGCAGAGATATTAGAGTACAATTGATACTATTGTTTATTGGGTTCAATAGTTCTCCTGTTATAATTGTGTGAAAGAAGATCGTTAGTGGAAAGAGATATTTAATTAGTTATCTATAATTATTAAAATTCTGGATCGAAAGATTTAGTTTATTGATCTAACAAAAACCATAGTTTCTTGTCGTGCAAACCAAGCTTTGATGATTCATAAAAACATAAACAGGAATTCTTTAACAACCAAATGTTTAAACTTATGAATAGATTAATGTAATTATATGATTTCCAGATGTTTGTTTTTAATTTTCGATTTCAAAGTTGTTTCAATCGATAGCTACAGAAATTTCAATGACAGTTTCTTTATAATTTACCTAAATATTTTTGACTTTTCTAAAATAATTTTATTTTCACGGTAGCGTACAAAATGGCGCTCGAGATTTATCCGTTTTCTTCCGTAAAATTTGGTCGAAATCAGGGCAAACTAAATAACCAAAAATGGCGGCGATCAAAGGGAACAGAAATCCTTCAGGGAAACGCGTGCGTGAGTGAAATTCAAGGTCCGTCGACTAATGAAACGTGTAAAGACTCTTCGTTGGGAAGGTGGAACGTAAACCGTCGGAACAGCCAGGAACGCTCGACATTAACATATTAACAATGCTCCATTATGCCCACGACCGAGTGTAGACCGTGGTGTTGCGCTCGCCACACAATATAACCACACTCACACACCGAACGACCGTCCGCAACACAAACAAATCAGCGTGGGTGTATTATGGCTCTGGCTCTTATAACGAGAATATACCGGGTAGTCCAAAAATCTTCGCCAGCGTCCCTCAACTTCTGCAATTTAATTCAACGTTAAATAAAAATTGGACCATTGATTTTTTTAAAATTCATTTTTTCATCTATTTTCTTCAATTAATTAAAATGAATAGAATTCGTGTTCTTTGTATTTTAATTAGAAGGTATCAAAACATAAAGGAAATTAAATATTGAAGGAATCAAATTACTATTAAATAGTATTAAATAAATTTCAAGAGAACTCTCGTACGTCGGAGAATTTTTATTTTTCGTGGACGCATTTCAATACAAAATTTACTATATACATTTGATTCAAAATAAGGGTTTAAGCGTATTTAAAAAAAGGAAGAAAAAGGTCCTTCAAAGTTTCTCTTTTATTGAGGATACTGTGAAAGGGTGGAAGTTGAGAAACACTGCTCTAATAGAAACAGCTTCATAAGGTAACTGTCTTATCTTTATTTACAAAACCATCCTAATCAAAGTTTATACTGGAAACCGCTATATCAAGACTTACAATTAGTTAAGATCTCCAAAGTTGTTTTCCTAGGAATTTTATTCTACAGGGTTGCTATAACTGTACAGAGTACAGGACGATTCTTTCAGGGAAAAATAAAAGAACATGGAAGAAAAATAAAATTTTATTTTAATTATAGTATTATTGTAACACCCTTAACACTATAAATTTTACAATAAAACATATAATGAAGCAAAGTAATGGGATCGTTTCAGAAAATTATGTTTGTGACGTAATCTGCATTTTCTAAGCAGCCTATACTCGCGAATAGTATGTAGCTCGTATAAATTGTATTGTAACACTATCTATTTGAGGAATGGCACTCTGCCAACACGACTCTGTCGCAGTCACGTGGTTTTGTTTACTTGCACTTCATGTTTAAGTTGTACTCTACTCGAGTACGTGTCACTTACAATGTGAAATACTCTAGACTTCAGCAGAATCTCGTGAACTGTCACAGAGTCCACGTAACACACAACGACGAGGGGAATTTAAGCGCTCCGTATCACATACTCTTTCACAACACTCATAAAATAGTGTATTTTGCTATCTAACATATTAATAGTTAAAATTAATTATTTAATTTATATTTCACGTACAATTTTTGGCTTGTTCGATAAAGTTACAATTTTTACTTACAAAATCAAATTACGATTCGTAATAATATTATTCAAATAATTTTTTGGGTAAAATTCTGCTCGTCTCTGAATAAAATTATTGCATGAATATTTATTTGAGGTTACTGGAATAACGCCG